TAATAAGAGATCAGGGGTGAAATTCAGCAGGTTCTGACAGGTTCTGGAGAACCGGTAGCAGAAATTTTGAGTAGTTCGGAGAACCGGTAGCAGAAATTTTGAGTAGTTCGGAGAACCGGCAAATACTACCTCTGGTTGGCCCCAGGAGTGGGGAGGGAATGGGGATTTTGTAGTATCTTTCCCCAGTGGGGAGGTAATGGGGATTTTGCAGTATCCTTCCCCTGGAATGGCGAGGGAATGGAGATTTTTCTGTATCCTTCCCCCGGAGCTGAATGGGAATGAAATGGGGTGGGAACCAGCCAGAGAACTGGTTGCTAAAATTTTATACTCCCACCCTTGGCCCTCCCTCTTGATGTCATGGGACATCATCCCCTGATTAAGGGATGCATCACTTTTTAAGAGAAAAGGGAGGGGAGGAAATCACATCTACTTTGGGGGAAAAAACCCAGCCTCCCGCACAAAATGACATAACGTGTATTGCATCTGGAACATCAAAGTACATTTGTGTGCAACTCACCCATTAGTTCACGGGGCAGGGCTCGGCCGTGGTTCCTTGGAAGTTGCTGAGTTAGCCTCCGGCGGGCCAAAACTCTTACTAGCAGCCGTACTCCAGACAGAGGGAGTGGACGACTCGGAAGGATTACGATGCTCTGGGGAGGGAAGGGGGAGGAGGAGATGATTTTTTGCTCCCAGGGGTTGTGAGGTCTGAGTAGGAGAGTAGAACCCTCTGTGTTTGTGTGTGGTTGTTTCTCCCCCCCCCTTGATGGATTGAAATCAATCTCTGGAGACAGGCAGAAGCTGAGGGCAAGGAAGAGACGGCATGAAATCCGGCATGAAATTCGTCCCTGAGAGAGAGAGAGAGAAGGCTGCAAAAGGGCTTTCCTTCCCTCCAGCAGATTCCAAAAGGGAAGGAAATGCAAAACAATTTTTTTTTAAATTTCTGCAGGCCTGTTTTTTTCTTTCTTCTGCTCTGGCTGTCCGTTTCCTCTTGCAGACGGGGAGGAAAACCGAGTTGGAAATTCTTCCCCCAGGAGTTTGGCGCATCTGTCATGGCAACAGTGGAGATGCAGAAGCAGAAGGGAGGGAGGGCGGGGGATTGGGCGCCCGCAGGGGGTTATGTGGGTGCATGGGTGAGCGCAAGGGACCACCAGGGTTTTTCTCTGCTGCGGGAGATCCCGGCCTCCTCCTCCCTCAAGGGCAAAGGCCAGCCATGCCAAAGAATAGACTAGAATAACAGTTGGAAGGGACCTTGGAGGTCTTCTAGTCCAACCCCCTGCTTAGGCAGGAAACCCTGTACCGCTTCAGACAAATGGATATCAAACATCTTAAAAACATCCAGTGTTGGAACATGTACAGCTTCTGGAGGCAAGTTGTTCCACTGGTTAATTGTTCTCACTGTCAGGAAATTCGTCCTTAGTTCTAAGTTGCTTTTCTCCTTGATTAGTTTCTTGTCCTGCCTTCAGGTGCTTTGGAGAATAGCTTGACTGCCTCTTCTTTGGGGCAACCCCTGAGATATTGGAACGCTGCTATTATGTCTTCACTAGTCCTTCTTTTCGTTAAACTAGACATACCCATTTCTTGCAACAAGTTCTTCATATATTTTAGCCTCCAGTCCCTTATTCATCTTTGTTGCTCTGGGCTCTTTCCAGAGTCTAGAGAAGAGCAACAAATAAGCTAGTTTAGCCTAGACCCGGGGTCGGCAACCCATGGCTCTGGAGCTGTATGTGGCTCTTT